AATGATGGTTTTTGCAGGGATCTTTACCAGAGATTATGTGGACTCATCAACCTATAAATCAGTAAGCACACAGAGATAGGCAGATAAATATTTAGATTAGCTGAGCAGCAGCCCTGGGTCACTTGCTTGGTGGTGTGATGGGAGCAAGGCTGGAGCTGGAGGCAGTACAATAAGGTGCTTTGAGGGCAATACAGCAGTGGCTGGTGATCCTGTGCACTCTGAGCTTGCTCCTCGTGTCTGCCTTGGGTTGGAGGGGGGAGTAGATGCTTGCCTCGATGGCTGAGAGGTGTTTCTTTGCTCCACTGGTGCATTGTCATGACACAAATTTGGTCCTTCCTCTCCTGTCTGCCAGGAACTCAGAAACACTTAAAACAAATACTTAAAACCTTTGTCCGAATTCATCACTCGTCAGGGTCACTGAATCCAGGAGCCCTTTGTATGCTTGGAAGTGGTGCCTTGGACCTGAGCCCATTTGGGAGGCTGCTTATCTCTGCCAGGACTCTGCACAGGCAGCTGGGCTCTGGAGGCAGAGCGAGGGACCCGCAGCTGTATGGGATCGGCTGGGAGCTCTGGGCTGTTTCCTGGGAGTAGTGGGAGCTATGAATCTCTCATACGCATCAGCCATGAGGAGGAGAGAGAGTTGGGTGTCTGAGGGCTAATTCTTAAATAGGTGGATCAGAAGGATTAATCAGTTACTCAGCATGTTCTCATTTTACAAATTTGCCTCCAACCTGGGGAGTACTGCACTGTTTTTGATCTCTTGCCTGTAGAGGTTTTTGGCCCAAGAGCAAAACATGGCTATCCCTGTTTGCTTTTTCCAGACTGAATGCTGATTGTTCAAAGTAACTTAAAATTAAATCCACAGCTGAAGAGTATGCCAGGGTCAGCTACTAGTTTTAGTCTTTGGGCCTTGCACAGTGTGGGAGCTCACAGCAGAAGAGCTCAGCTGGAATGCAGCTGGACTAAATGTAGTTGGGAACATGGGTCATTCCAGTGGTGCCAGTGTCTCAGTGGGAATTCTCCCCATTAAAGCTGTCAAAAAAATTATGATCAGATAGTAATTTCACAAGCATTTTTGATATCTCTTTCTTCACAAAATTCCTTCGTGTCCTGCTCTTGTGATGAGGTTTCAGTCAACAAATGCACCCAGCAAAATCCTTTCTCCTGTCCTGGGGAGGGAAACACATCCCAGGTTGCAGCTGTTCTTTCAGCTGTCCACATGTGTACTGAATTGCATACCCTTTTCTGGACATGGAAGAGAAGGCGAGGAATAAATAGTGGGCTGTATGAGCTAGTCTGCAGAAAAACTCAGCGTGGACGCTGCTTAGAGCTTGTAGAAAAGAGAAAGGCTCCCTTCTTCTTGGGACAGAGAGAGGTTTGGAAGAAGCCGAGCTTATGAGCCACACAGCA